GTGGGGAGCGACGGCCCTGGCCGGGTCGTCCCCAGCCCCAGGTCTGGGAGCGCAGCGCCGAGCCGAGGGGCAGGTGGAGGTGGCGCGCCCCGCCGTGTGCAAGCCGTGCCTGGAGACCCGGGCGCCCAGGTGTGTGCACCTGCCGCTGCGCTTGCTTGCCGGGGTATCCCCAGGACGCGGTTGGCGCCGCCTGTGTTCTGGAAACGGGGCTCACGGACGCTTCCTCATGCACACAGGCTGCACTGGGTGCTCCAGCCCCGGCGGGGGTTGATCCGGAGGCGGCGCTAGGGCCGCGCCGCACCCCACCCCGAAGGCGAAGGCTGGCAGCGGCGGGCAGGACTGGTGGCCAGTGACGCCCCGGAAGGTGTGCAGGGAGCACCCCGATGCAGGAGAGCCGCCTTTCCCGGGGCAGTGGAGTGCCGTGCGCCCGCGTGGGGGACCCGCCTCTCGGTCCGCAGCTCTGCTCACAGCTGAGGTCACACACACACACACACGCCGCCGGCTGCTTCCCTTTCTTTCCTTTTTTTTTTTTTTAATGTCCTTTTGAGACAGGGTCTCCCTATGCAGTCCAATCTGGCCTTGAGCTCACTTTGTAGCCCAGGCTGGCCTCGAACTCGCACCGATCCTCCTGCCTTTCTTTTCCTTCCATTTCTGGCTGTCTCACAGCCCGTGGTCATCGCTGAGGCCTCTGTGGTGTGCAGGCAAGGGCAGGGACGGTGGACAGGGCCGTGTCGTCCTGGTCTTTTCCAAGCCCTACCTCACCGGTGGAATGGAAGCGCTGCTCCATGGTCTTGAGGCCTGCAGGGCCTGGGTTCAAATCCCAGCTGTGACCCTTGGGCACTTGGCTTGAGGTTCCGAGTTTCCTCCATCAGTAGACTGATTACAGAAGGTATGTGGATCCTGTACAGGGCCTGGCACTTCGCGGGTGCATAATAAATGTGGGTGAGGGTGTAGGGCCCTCCCCTGCCCAGGGAATGTGGTGACTCCTCTCCTCTGTTTGTTGTTGGGGGAGACCTGTGGGTTCTCACCGCCCAGCACGGCCTGTTTCCAGCTCTGTGGGTGAGCAGCATGGGTCCTCGAGCTCCTTCCTGCCCCTTTCCTCCTCCTCTCACTTCTCAGGCAGCCTTCTCTGGGCCCGGAGTGGGGCAGAGCTCTTCGGCACCTCGCTGGCAGTGCCGGGTGGGGATGGGTTCAGCCCTGGCCCAGGCCCCTCAGGGACAGATTTCTGAGGGGCCTCCTCTTCACTTCGCAGCTCCGGATAAGTTTTGGAATGCAAGGAGCCCGCTTTTTGAAGAACGCCTCTTTTCTAGGCCTTATTTCCAACTGCCATTCCTGTTAGAAATAAAAAGGAAGCTGTTATAGTTTATTCCTGCATGATAGTAGTAAAAATTATGATCCTTTAAGAAAACTCGAGGAAACTTACTTAATGGGTGAGGCGCCCGGGTCTTGGTCCGAGTCCAGCCTCAGAAGCGCGTTACAGGCTCGCCTGTGGCGGCCAGGTGTTTGGGTTCTGCCGAGGAGCTTGGCTCCTAGTTCACGGCTCGTCTCCGCGGCGGCAAACTTGACCCATTTTTCTGTATTGAAAGACACATGGCTACTAGGTGAGTGTAGAAGTAGCAGCTTAATTTGGGGCTACCCCAAGTGAGACTGAGTGCTCCCTGCTCGGTGTAGTGGGAAGTCTTCGAGACGGTGTGAGGTCAAAGTCTTTTCTTTACCGTCAAGCGCTGCTGTTGGGTAGATCGAATTCAGGAGCGTGTGGGGAATCACGCCGGGCGTCTCCCAGGTGCACGATCACTCTCTGTGGCTGTCTGGACGTTCGGTGTGGAGGAAGAGGTTAGGAGGTAGATGCCTTAGAGACCCCTCTTCCCACTCTACTCCTCCTCCCCCATTCCTCTTCCCCCTAGATCCCTTCTTCACGTGGGTTGTGGTTTTTGCAAAGTCACGTTCTCTCAGAAATTTATTTGTAACCTCAAAATCAACACTCATGGTATTTTTGTGGTCACCTGCAGAGGTACAAAGGACAGCAAGAAATTGGTGTTGTCTGGCATGCTCCTTCCCTTGAGGGGTGGTCACACCCCCCAAAGGCCCGTGTGCTAAAGTCCGGGTTGCTGGCCTGTGGCTACTGGGGTGTGCCGGCACCGTTAGGTGGTAGACCTTGAGGGAGGAAGTTGGGTTGTTGCGGGCACACACTTCCCCCTCTTTGCCACCCTTCCTCCTCTTTCCTGGCCACCACAAAGAAGCTGTCAGCAGCCATGGACTGAGACCTCCGCAACTGTGAGCCAGAACAAACCCCTCCTCCATTTCAGTTGATTATCTTGGGTATTTTGTCACAGTAGCAGAAAGTTGAGTAACTCTAGCTGTAAGTGCTGATGTTACTCTATGTATGCATGGATAAACACGGTGTGCATCGGTGTAAACACGTGTGTGTCAGCATGGTAGTGTGGTGCACATGTGCGTGTGTCTGTATGCACATGTGTGTGTGCACCCACGTGCAGGGGCCCCTCTGTGTCCATAGGGCACTGGTTCCAGGACCCCCCAGATACCCAGATCTTTGGATGCTCAAGTCCCTCACTTGCAGTCACATAGCATTTCACAGAACCCTCGCCTGCCCTCCCATATGCTTTAAATCATCTCTGATTGTTTATAGTGCCCGATACAATGGAAATGGTAGGCAAATAGCTGTCAGATTGTATTGTTTAAGGAAGAGTAACGCAAAGTGTGCATGTTCAGTACAGGTACAATTTTCCCCCAATATTTTGGATCTAAGGCTGGCTGGTCCATAGATGCGGGGTAGGTGGATAAGGAGGGCCGACTGTATCGGTTTGCACGTATTTAACTAGCTTTGATCAGTATTACGCAGGGAAAGACGTATCCAGTGTGACTAGTTACACAGCAGTGGGCCTGAGACAGTGTCATTGAGGTGACAAGTTAGACGCCAACCCTGACCTATCTGGGCCTTCTTGCCCGCCCTCCGGCCCGCCCTCCCTTCTTCCTCCCTGCCGCTTCAGGTCCCTGAAACAGGTCCACTGCACTGTAACTGGTGTTTCGCTCTTTTAGTCTGGCCTGGTAGTAGAGAACTACCTCAGTTTTCAAAAAGAGGAAAGGTTGTCTTTCCTGGAAGCAGAACGTTTATCGTTGACTCCCAGCGCATTTCAGGAGTAACCCTTCGGACAGCTGGCTGTGGGAACCGAGGAAGGACACAGGGCTTGCCGCGCCGGGCTGGCACTTGCGCACAGCGGGCACGCAGAGCCCTCTCTGTCGGCACGTGAGCCAGTGTATGGCTTGTTTCCCTAAACTCAAGCGTCAGAGTTCCGGCTTAATCGCAGTGTTGGCACTGTGCAGTAAATAAGGGGCTTGGGGCTGCAGTTTGGGTTCTTGGTCTCTGGAAGGCTCGCCATCACTGAGCTAGAGCGAGTAGTCACATCGTCGTGGGATAGGAAGGGTGGGATATTGTTCCGTGTCTGTCAGTGAGGTGGTAGAATAATAGGATTCTTCGAAGTCACCGGCAGACTTAGGAGAGAGCTTTTTCCCCGAGGAGGCCAACCACAGCTTGATAAAAGTGTCCTGCCTTCTGGTCACAAGGAAGTAGCTGTGTGTGCCGCTGAGCCTTTAGGTCGCACCGGGCTTCGTTTGGCTTCAGAGTGGTCCCTGAGAGCTCACCCTTCTTTGCCTCGGCAGCTGTGCACTGCAGTTACAGCTGGTTGGTCATTTTGTGCCCTAAAAAGACAGGGAATTGGCCCATAGCGCTACCAAACCCACGTTTAGGTGTGACCTAATGTTTTACATGGCGTTAGGGAGTACGTTATCGGGCTGGGCTCTAGCTGGGTGGCGGAGCACTTGCCCGCACACGAGGCCCTGGGCTTGACCCAGCGCCTGGGCGGGTGTTAGATGTGTTATTGCCACAAACTGTGAAAGTGATCCTGAGTGTGAAATCCTCCATAGGAGCTGGGGGATTGGAGGTGGCCTTGGCTGTGTTTCAGTGTACGGCTCGCGGACTCCCGGTAGCGTTCCATTTTTCTGAATTGTCGCGTAGGTTTGTTTGCTGAGTTGTCACACAGGTTTGGTTTTCAGAGCTAGTATGTGATGTACTCAGTCTTCTCAAAGATCCCCTCCAGCAACAGTACTGGTGTCTGTTGCTTCTAACTTGGCTTACCTAGATTCACTCGGAGACTCCTTCTTAAGGAAACATTTTTTTTCTACAAAAAGAAATGTTCACCTGGGCGTGGTGGCACATGCCTGTAATCCCAGCTACTTGGGAAGCTGAGGCAGGAGGACCACAAGTTTGAGACTATTTCACAGCCCTCCCCACCCCTCTTCCTTCTTCTCTCCTGCCCGCTGGAGCTCTCCCGGAGTCCGGCACTGTTTGTGAACATGTACACACACGGAATATGCCCTTGATGTACAGCTCTGCCACTGAGGAAGACAAGTACCAACGTAAGA